CTTGGTCTGACATGGGAAGCGTACAGCAGCCTGAAAGCGTCCATCGTGAGGTGGTTGAAAGACCGACGAATAGGCCCCAGAATGCTCCATGCGTTAGCACAGAACCGATTAGTGTTTTCTCGAGTCTTTAGTGATGACGTAGCCATAACACCCAGGTCTCGTTCGCACGATATTCTGCACAATGTGGTTCCCTGGAAGTTGTAGACTACCTCTGAGCCAGCACGCCCCAAATGCAGGTGAGCACACTTTGCTGTGTTGACTGGAAGAGCCCAGGTGTCTGCCCACTGAGCCAGGTTGTTCAAATCCACTTGGAGAGAACTTCGATCATTCGGATCCTTGATTTTACGCCAGATTTTGATGTCATCCGCATACATGANCATTCACATTTACTACAAAAAGCGATGGACCAAGAACCGAGCCTTCGGGGACCCCACTGAGAGCAGAATACCACACAAAGAGCGATTTACCAACACGGAAGCGGAATTTCCGGTCGATGAGGAAGTCTCGCAGCCAATTCCGCATTACCACATCTGCACCTAGGTTGGACAGCTTTCGCAGAAGGAGGTTGTGCGGCACCTTGTCAAAGGCCTTGCTGAAGTCCACGAACGTGATGTCCGTTTCGTGTCCTTTGGCCTTGTCCTCGGTCCAGCATTCACTTGCAAGTAGCAGATTTGAGAGGTATGAGCGACCCGGCCGGAAACCGTGTTGTTGGTGGCACAGGTGACCGTGGCACAACAAATGCTGCCGAAACCGTGCAGCCACCAGTCGCTCCATTACTTTACCTACAACGCTAGCAAGGCTGATTGGTCGGTAGTTCCCAGGGTCACCCTTACCCCTACTTTGGGCAGGGGAACAATGACAGCGTCCTTCCACTGCCGCGGTAAACGCCCTTGAGTGAATATCAAATCGAACAGGTTGCACAGTGGCGCTGCAAGTTCATCTGCCATCTCCTTCAGGATCAGCGGATGTACACCATCCGGTCCAGGTGGCTGGTCAACCTTTAGTCAACGCAGCTACAGGGCCACCTCTCCGATGATAAATGGAGCCTATTTCAGCGCAGTGTCAGTGTCCAGTAGATGTGCCAGTGTGCTGGAGGCTGGGGTGTATACTGAGGCATAATGTGATGTCAGCATCTCCGCTTTGTCCTCCTCTTTTTCGGCTAGTGCCCCATCTTTGGCGAGAGTCGGGAGACCAGGCGTTGCTCTGATTCTTCGCCTGAGGTAGTCATACAATCGCTTTGCTGCTTGTACTGAATCCTCGGCTAGTCATTCCTCGAATCTGGTTCTGTTGCATTTTTAATGCAGTACAATGATTCCGAATACATCGATATTCCTCATATCCTGCGCCTGTGGCACGGTACCNCCTGGACCAGGATTTATTCCGCTGCCGAAGGCACGCCCGCAATTCTCGGTCAAACCACGGCGGGCCCATAGCGTGTGTTTGGTGGCGGTGAGGTGGAGAGAATTCCAGCCGGAGTTGATGGATTCTATGACCAACCAACTCCCAGGATACATCCACATCCTCAGGGTTCCGGGAATCCCAATTTGTGAGTGATGTAGCCTGACGCATATCCGGAAAGCATGAGCGCCACACATTCCGTCCGTCCTGTGGTCTGTCCGTTTAGGATACGCCACGCCTCCGATGTTCAGTTCAGTTCAGTTCAGTTTGCACAGGACAGTAGTGGCCGAGACCAATC